TGTAGCAGCATTAGTTAGTTTCCCTGCACACTCTGTGTTCCTGACATCACAGTGCTGTAAGTTGGTGGCCCTCGTTAAGCAAAGTCATATTTGCAAAACAGCATTATTTGTTTTTAAAGCTTTTAAAGAAATGATTTTCTTGGGGGAAAAAAAAAAGGCTTGGGACCCAGCTCAGTGGTGGATTGCTTGCATTGATGTGGGAGGCTATGGGTTCCATCCCCAGCACCACAGAACAAACTCAAAAAACCCTCAATCCAGGAGAAGGCAGGAAAAGAGGAGAAGGGGAACAAGGAACTGGCGGCCCCAAAGAGAAGCCTGGGAAGTTCAAACCAGCCGTTCCTCGACCGCACTAAGTGCAAGCCCTCTGAACACCTGTGCACATCCTGTCAGCGCACTGTGCTGTGTCCTGTTGAGCTTAACTTTGTCCTCCTGGTGTTCCCCTTCAGGGTCTGTCCACTTCTGGCAGCAGGCTGGTCGCATCTCCAGCTTTGGTCATGGCGTCACCCACCTCTCCTCGCAGTTCTCAAGTATTCAATGTTCTGCCGTGCAGTGCATGCTCCCTGAGGATGGTACATCTTGGAGAACTGTCCCATCATCATTCAGGTGGTGTCCCTCTTTGTAACTGGCAGTTTTCCTTGCACGTAGTTAATATAGTCTGAGCTTCATACAGTGACTACTGCTTTCCTTCACTAGAGTTGGCCCCGTGTTTCCCTCTTCAACACTTCACTCTTAATCTACGGTGGTCCCCTCGTACCCACGGTTCAGCTCGCCAAGGTTTCAGGTACTTGTGGTCAACTGCAGTCCCAAATTGTTAAGTGGAAAATTCTAGAAATAAAAAAATTTCCTAAGTTTTAAATTATATTTCATTGTGTGTAATGCTATGAAGTCTCGCACTGTCCCCCTGAGGTATGAATTGTCCCTTTGTCCAGTGTGTCAACACTGTATACGCTCCCTGCCTGTTACTCACTCTTGGTAGCCATCTTGGTTATCAGATGGACTGTTGCAGTATCAGTGCTGTCGCTCACATATCCCTGATTTTACTTAAAGCTTAAGGGGAGCGATGGTGGGAAGTTTATTGAATTATGTTAAAATTATTCTATTTTACTATTAGTTACCATTGTCAATCTCCTCCTGTGCCTAATTTATAACAGTCATAAGAATGTAGATATAGGGGGAAACAGTGTATATAGGGCTCAGTGCCATCTGCAGCTCAGGCATCCACTGGGAGTCTCGGGATGTATCCCTGGGTGGGGGTACTACTGTATATTTTAAGTGGACTTCTAGACACCAAAGGGTTGGAACCTGTTTTTTGAACTCCTCTGATAATCTCTGTTAATTGGTACGTTTAGGTCCCTGACGTATAATGTGATTATTGATCCAGTTGAATTAGTATCGGCTGTGCTTCGTACCGTTCTGTGTAATTGCCCTGGTTCTTTGTGCCTGTTTTTGTCTGTCTCTTCTTTTCCTGCCTTTTGATTCCATCTACTCACATTTCTCAGCACACCTGTTATACTTCTTTTTAAAAATCTTTTTTAGTGGTTGCAATGTACACTGACAACTAACCCAGGTCCACTTTCAGATGACACTGCTGGGTGGAGACTGGTGTCAGTACCTCACAGCAACAAAGCATTCCTGGTGCTCCTGCCACCCCATGTCACACTGTCATCTCACATGTACGTATACAGTTCTCATCGAGGACATTTGTTAATTTTGTTCTGAACAAACTTATCCAAGAAAACTTAAGTTGTTTTTCTTTTTTATGTAAGTCTCTTTCTGGCCGGGATCATGGTCCTTGTCTTTAAAGGACTTCTTTTAGCATTTCTTGCCAGGCAGCTTCCTGGTGACACAGTCCCTCCGTGGTGTGTCTGAGAGTCTCTATTTCTCTTCACTCTGAGGCTGAGTTTTCAGGACATGGCTGTAGGTTGGGGGGCTTTCACCTCAACACTTCTAAGTGTTTTGCTCCACGCTCTTCCTTGAATATTTTCTGAGCAGTTGGATATATTGTGTCTCTGTTCCCAGAGGGCGGGCTTCTTCCTCTGGCCCCTTTAAAGTGTGTGTGTGTTTGATGGTGGTTCTGTTTTGGTGTTGGCTTGGCTTTCTCTTGGTGCTGCAGTTTGGATTCCTGGAGGCTGAGGCTGGGTGGAGTTGTTTTGTTGTTCCTTCTGCTTGAAGTTCTCTGAGCCATTTTGATTTGGTACTAATTTGGGAAGTTCTCCTCTTCTCTTCCTTGGATTCCCATATTGTCTACATGACACCTCTTATCTTCCCACAGTTCTTAGATGTTGGTTCTTTCTCTCCCTGTCTCCCTCCCCCTCTGCCTCCCTCTCTCTCCCTTTCCCTCTCCTCCTTTCCCTCTCCATCTTGCTCTCCCTGTCTCCCTCTCCCTGTCTCCCTCATCTCCCTCTCCCTCATCTTCCTCTCTCGGTCTCCCATCTCCCTCTCCCTCTCCCTATCTTGCTTTGCTTTGCTGTTTTGGAAGATTGTGTTGACATAGCCTCAAGCTGAGACATTCTTTGCTCAGTGGAGTCCAGTATGTTAATGAACTCATCAAAGCTGTTCCTCATTTGTGTCCCAGCATTTTGTGTCTCCATCCCTTGCTGCCTTGTCCCCTCTGCTGGTGCCTGTCTTTCCATGAGAGCCCTTGGCAGGTTAGTCATGGTTGTTTGGGGGGTTCCTGGTCTGAGGGTCCCAGCATCCCTCCTGGTGGGAGTCTGGTGTCCATGCTTGTTCCTCTCTCAGGCCTTTGCCTTTTAGTCTGCCTTGTAACTCTAGCACTGGGGAAGGGAGCTCCTGGAAATAGGCCTTGGGGAGTGTCCAGGAGTGGGAGGCAAGCTTTTTGTGGCCCCTCCAGCAGGTCCCCGTCTCCTGAGCCTGCATCCTGGGCTGGGAATGTCCCCAGTGCTTCTCCCTGTTGCCCTCTTAGGTGGAACAGCAAGCAGGACTCAGGGTGCTGGAGCTGGGTGCCTGCCTTCCCCCAGGTGACACAGGCTCTGGTGAATCCCAGTTGTTCAGACTCTGATAAAGCAGTTTCTCTAGAGGGCAGCCTTGTTAGGAACAGAATGCTCTGGCGTATGTCAGAAAGGTCCAGAAACATGAGGAACCTGGAGACAGTCTCAGTGGGAACACTGAACTCCTGCAGGTAAAACCCTCAAAGGTGGAGGGCCCCTGTGATTTGGCGGTGGTTCTGAGTTTTTCTTTTTTCTTTTCTTTTTTTGGTGCTGAGGGTTAAGCTCAGGACCTCACTCTGCAGAACAAGCTCTGCCCACTGGGTTCCCTCCCTGGAGTTTTCAATATTCAACTTGCCTACTGAGCCTCCAGAAATCCATCAATAACAACCTGCCTTTGCCAAGACTAGTATACACATTTTCATAGCAGCTTTGTTTATAGACAAGAACTGGAAACAGTGTAGATGTCTATCAGCAGGTGAGTGGATGCAGACTCCCCAGGCCCACCTTAGGAGACGGGGGGGGGGGGCAGGGGTAGGGCCATACAGCTGATCACTCAAAAATAGGAAAGGAAAGGGTGAGCTATTGGCACTTAACATTGATGATGCTCAAAATAATTATGTTCAAAGAAGCCAGATTTTAAACAAAATACAACATGCTGTATGATTCCATTTATTGAAACTTCTAGAAAGTATATAGTAACAAAAAGCAGATCAGGGGTCACCTGAAGATGTGTGGGGGATGGTGGAGGTGTGAAGGGATTGCAGAGAGGCAGGAGGAAACTTTTGGGGTGATAGACACATTGGTTATGTTGATTGTGGTGCCCTCACAGCTGATGCATAGTATTGGAACTGAGCAGAGTGTGCTTGAAATGTGCAGGTTGCTGCCCTTCATTGAAACTGTTTTTTGAAATTAGCTACAACCAACAGGGGACAGAGAAGCCTCCAAGTGGTCTCTTCCTTTACTGAAGACTATGATGTAGAAATTGATTCCAGAAGAAATCTCTTTCCTGTCCATGCAATGTTTTGAGCTTAGCAGTGCTTACCTGCTGTGTGGCTAAATCGATCCTGCTTCAAATGCTGGGCAAGATCTTCAGGGGTGTAAATACCACGTAGGCAACATGATGCTAAAAGCGAGGTCTCTCTGCCCCCAGATGCAGGTCCCTTCCCTCATGCATCAATCCTTTGGGGATAAAGGGGAGAAGCCCCGCCTGGGGTTCCAAAGCCTTTGGAAAGAAAGTTGAGGGATCCCGGGAGCAAAGAGGGTTGGGGACGTGCCAAGGGATGAGTAGGAGGTGTGCACTGGGAGGAGGGCGCTCCACGTGGGCCTCCACTGTGTACCCAGTGTTCCATGAGGCTGGTTCAGAGCCAGGGCTGCAGGCCAGGCACATCTGGGCACATTGCAGGTGCAGGGGACTCTGCCGAGCCTAGAGAAGGGGATACTGGTGCTGAGCAGCATATATCAGGGAAATCGGTTGCTCCCACCTGACAGATCCCTTTCCAGGGCAATCTTGGGGCCCTGCTGCAGGGACACCCAGTGAGGATGCTCGAGGAAACCTTTCTGTTCAGGAAGGTGGCAGGGCCAGGCGTGCTGGGGTCCTAGGGCGAGCTGGCTACAGGTTTTTACCTGAAGTCCCCCTGTCCCGCCCCTTGATGATCCTCCTGGAGTCGGGCCCCAAGTGACTTCTCCCTTGGCAGCCTTTGGGAGGCACCGAGGAACTGTCTGGGGCCCTGTCCCTGAGGGCGACAGGGCTTTCAGTGTTTGCTGACTTGAGTCGTGGGGAGTTTGTAAGGAGGACTCCAGCCCTCCACCTCTACCCGCAGACATCCAATGGATAGCTAAAGGCAGAATTAGAAGGGCAGCATCTCTGCCTCAATATATGGCCCATCCATCCCCTTTGCCTGAGTCACCTTGGATTTGTTACTGGACCCTGCTGGCTGCATCAGTGCCCACCAGCACAAGGAACAGGAAAAAAAAATGAGAAAGGAAGCAAGAAAGGAATAGAAAAAATGAAAAAAATAAACTTTATCTGTTTGATCAAACTGGGGAGAAGCAGCTAGAGGCTTGGAGGAAGCCCCTGACCCACAGAAGTGGTTACAGTTTATAGAAACAAAACCCAAGTGATCTATATACATAAATTTCTTTGGCCTGAAGAAGAAGCAAAAACGGGACAAAACACAGAAAATTCCTAGGCAGATGGCCTGTGCCCAGGCCTGATGAAGGGCGGGACCCATCTTAGCTTTCCTGGTTCCTGAGGTGGGCATGGGGGTTGCAGCAGAAGGAAGTTGCTCTTAATTCAGAATCCAGACCCCCGCGCCCATGCAGTCTGTTTCATGTCCCAGGAACAAGGTCTGATTGATGTGCATCTGAGAGCCAAAGCAGGTGACACAGCTCTCCTGACAAGGCCCCAACTGGCCAATCCTGGGATGATGGACAGACCTCACCTGGTCAGGACCACCTGCTTTGGCAGCTGTGCAAAGCCCAAGCCCTTGCCCTCATTCCCCTTTCTATAAAAGCTCCAAGTCATTGTCACCTCCTAAAGACAGGTGAAGGATGTGGGTCCCCTGCCTTCCCCGTGTGGCTGCACTGATAAAAGTTCCTTTCCTGGTGGGCATGGTGGTGCATGCCTGTAATCCCAGAGATTCTCGGGAGGCTGTGGCAGGAGGATCACATTTGAGGTCAACCTTGGTGATTTAGTGAGACCCTCAGCCACCTAGCAAGACCCTCTCTCAAAACAAGAATAAAAAGGATTGGGGTGTGCTCAGTGGTAAGGCACCCGGGTTCAATTCCTAGTCCTTTACCTGGAGCTGAAGCTCCCTGCCTCCTTTTCTTTTCCAGATTAAATCTTCCCCTGTGCATTCTGTCTCATTGCACTTGGAGTTACCATTGACCCAACTCAGAAATTCCCATCTCTGG